CCTCAGCTGTTGCAAACCCTACTTCGACGGTGATAGCGTTTTTTTTTTTTTTCCGACGAGAGAGAGCGTTTAAATTCAAGCTTCAACGTAAATGTATCAGAGCCTGGTTTCGAATAATAAAATTAATGAATAATTTAATAATAAAAAAGATGATGTAGCTTGCATTTCATAATTGTATTATATGCAAGCTTGCAAAGATGTAATTGTCATCTACATCAATGCAATTGCAAATGAATGTCATGTTATAATGCAATTCTAAATGTAATTCCAATGGAGATGCTCTTATTGACATTCAAAAACAATATTCTTTACACGTGCGGTGCATTTTGGTGAAATTTTTTTAGAAATACCATCATTAAACTATAAGATTTTAAAAATATCAGTCTTTTTCGAAAAAAAATTCAAAAATACCATCATTTCATGGAAATCGTATGGGTAAGGCGCGATTTTAAGGAGAACTGCATAGGGGAAAACGGTTTCAATTAGGATGGCCGGCAAACACGTGTCCATGTGGCGGTCTATGGAATCGTTGGATAAAAATGTGATCCGAAGGCGGACCGTGCGCCTGGTCAGCGGTCTGTGTTGAGGATGGCAGAACTGCTCCCCCGAAGTGCATTTTCTGTTTTAATTGCTAAAACCGTCGGTGGGGGGCAGTTTTCGTTTGGTGTAAAATGACCAAACGCCCCCCACCAGGCGGTCCGTATGCTATATAACCCCCCCCCCCCCCCTCCTTCATTTTTTCACACCGAAACCCATTATTCTCTCTTTCTAAGATTATCTCTCTATCCATCCCCCTCTCCACCCAAAATCTAGGAAATAATGGTATTTTGATTGCAACTAAGTCCGAACTGCTATCAGAAAACATTTTTTATATTTTTTTTTTCAAAACACATCGAACCTCTATCCGCCTTCCTGGAAAAAAAAATGGATGCTTGGTTCCAAGAAGAGGGTATTTATTATGATGAGTATAAAGTGGTACGTACTCATTTTACCAATTTTTTGGTGGTGTTATAATTCTTTTTAATTAATCTATATACTAATTAATTTATATTGTTGTTATGCTATCGTAGGTTAGTGAAGATGTAGATATATACAATCAAAGATATTATCTTGATCAAGTACCGATTGATGCAAGCGTGATATACGACCAACCTAGCCATCATTCAAGAGATGTTTGGAAGGATCACGATGTACATATAATTCTTCAGCTTTTGTCATTTTTTATTTTGTTAATGTACTCAGTGATTTATAAAATAAATTTGTTAATTGTTAATCATATTGATTATTTTCAATGATTTAGGCTAATACAATGTGCCAATTACTTTGACTCTTTATAAAGAGATGAATGCCTAAGGAAATGGGGTCTTAAGCGATCATCATGATCCTCCCATTTCCTTAGAAAATCGGGTTTTAAGCGATCTTCAGATTCTCCTTTATCTGTCAAAAAAGTTGTGTTTCTAAGGAGATGTATACCTCTCGTAAGAGTCTAACGAGTGTACTTGTATTGGATTAAATTATTAAAAACAGCTAGTACGATTTACAAAATAATATAATAGATTTATATGTATGTGTGCAAAATTAATTATGTTACTTTTTATTATTTAGTTAGTTGATTTATGTGTATATCTTTTAAATGCTATACATTTTAGTTAATTGAATATGTTTGTTATACGAAATTATGTATATATCTTGGAAATGGTATTCATTTTGTTAATTTCAATTGTTTGTTATAATATATTTATGTATTTATAATCATAAACCTATGGTTGTAATTTTATTCCCTAGGATGCACTGCCATATTGTCCGCTAAAGGGGTAAGGGCAATGTGCTCTGATATAGCCTCGCTATCTTGCCCTATCTCAAAAGGGCAAAGTTGGATTTAATGAGGCACTTTGTTGGCATAAAGATCGACCGTCAACTTATCACAGCATTGGTGGAGAGATGGCGAAAGGAGACACACAACTTCAACTTTTGTGAAGAAGCGTGCACCATCACACTAAAGGATATCGCCATCCTAACTCATTTGCCTATCGATGGCGATGTAGTCTGTGTGAACGATCATCCACCAGCTTCAAGTGTTGACGAGATAAGCGATTGGCACTATTTGTCTACACCACTCTGGGGTTGTTCATGCCAGACAAGGCAGAAGATGATGTGGAGGATGGCAACCCACCATTGAGGAAGAACCAAGTATCAACCACTTGGTTGACATTGGCGATCAAGAGTAAGCACAACCCTGATGAAAATGCCATTCCCCTCACCGAGGAAATTGAGGAGGTGGACAAGGAAATTGAAGAAGAATAAGGAGAGGGGTAAAGAGCTGAAGTTTCCGGGGTTGCGTTTTATAGACAAAATGTCAAGTGAAACCCCCCCACCCCACCCCACACCCTGCGTTCCACTGAAAATCGATGGGGGAGGCGGTTTTCACCTGACATGCAATCTCACGTCTACACCCCCTGCATGCCGGCATGTAAGCTGTCGGGGGATGGGGACTACTTACAAACCGCTGCCCCCCCCCCCTCCCCCCCCCCCCCCCCCCGTCCCCCAAGCGGTTTGTCGTTTGTGTGTTGTTAACTCAAACCACCCGGTATTGGAGCAGTTTCTATTGTCGACCAAGAACCGTCGTGTTAAAAAGCATCTTCATCTAGGTCAGCCATAGAACCGCCCCTAGAGGGTGTGGTTTGTGTTGAAAATACAAACCGTATGTTTACCACACGTTCATCAACAAATCGCCTTCCCATGTGGCGGTTTTCATGAAATGGTGGTGTTTTTGGAAATTTTTCGAAAAGGGTGGTGTTTTTTGAATTTTATAGTTTAATGGTGGTATTTCTGGAAAAATTATTATTTTGGTGGTATAGTATTGAGAGATATTGGGGATAAGTTAGTAACTTTGTGGATTAGGAACTTGTCTGTGAATCATGATGGTATATAAAACTCACATGTAATATGGTGATATAAAATTGAATGATATTGGTATGGTTAAGTAACTTTGTGAAATATGAATGTGAGTGAATACGTGATCATGTTTATGTCTTTCGAAGTTTGAAATGAAAAAAATACGAGCCGATTAGGAATAGTAGAAGAACTAAAAAATGAGAGAAAAATGTGCTAGGGTGTTTCATCATTGAGACTTGCAAGAATCATCAGTGGTGGAAGAGCAAGTAGGAGTAAAGAAGGATTCGATAAAGAGAATGTGAGTGGTTGGTTCAGGCGGAACCGAGATTTCGAGTTCATCTGACATAGTAGCTACAATGGGAGATTTTGAATTCGGGAGTGTAACTTCTTCTACACAAACCAGTCGGCGAGATAAGTAGACCCAGGACGGTTCATGGGTAACTTAGTAATCTCAATCCGTTTTTCCTATTTACTAGTACACTGCGCGCTACTACTTGCAGCACCTTTACTAGTAAGGGAAAAGGCTAGCGCGCAACGGCGGAAAAGCCAGCTGTTAAGAGTAGGTTTTGGTTTTGGCTTGCCCCTTTCTTATTACTTATTATTAGTAAGAAAGGTTGGAAACCCTATTCTTCGCGGCTGCTTGCTTTTCGCCTCTATCTCGTTAAGGGGCTTATGAAAAGCAATACGGTATGCTGCTTCTACGCAGTTAAACAAACACAAATGCAGCTCAGCTCGAATATTGCCTCTTGTCTCCCTCCTTCATTCTATATCGTAGAGACAATAGGTTAAACTTCTCCAAGTACTCTCTCGCCACTCGACTCTAAAGGAGAGGAGAGGCATTATATCTTGATTTTTTCTTCCCTGGAATAAGGATGAAGGGGACACGACAATATTTACTTAGGAGATTGGGGACCACCTCCTTCAAAGACCTACTAACTTCCGATTGCGGGAAAAGCCTCTGTAGGCAACGCGAACAGACCAAATGCAAGGGCTCGATGCTCCTCTAAGAAGCACTTTCTCTCTAACTTGGCTTGGTTAGCTTGCTTGTATGGGCTGACTAGCTTAGTGAATGGTACTACTTCCTTTCTTTCTGGTTTGGAATAGATCAAAGCATTGTATCATGCATTCCGGTGGTGTCCCAATGGACCTGCATAATGTGCAATTGTAAAGCAACGAGAAAGTCGTCATCGACGGGTAAATCAGGTGACGAGAAGGTGGTCGTTGACACGAGAGATGTATGGCGGGTCACTTTGGAGGATGCTTGACAAATGCGTTGGCGTAACCAAGATTTGGGGTTTGGTTTGTGAGTAGGATTAGCAATACGGCAGTGGTGGCTAAGAATGCTCTCTTTTTGTTTCCAACGGGTGTGTTGACTTGTGACTTTCGTGATTAGCTTTGGTCAATCTCGTGATTGATTCTATTGTTATGCAAGTAATCTAATGGTACAAAAAATGCAATCCCAATTTCTTTCTTTTCCCTTTTATCTTTTTTTTTTTTTTACGGAAATCTGCGCTAAGCTTTATTTAGAATGAGAAGCCATTATAGAATCCAGCTCCAGCTGGTCGATAACATTCATAGGTGGCCTATCAATTTCTTTCTTTTCCCTTTTATCTTTGGACATAATTCTTTTATTTATTTTATCTTGTGCATGAAGATAGACAATGTTGAGCCAAATTCAAATATATATCCTCAAAATTATGAAAACTTTATAATCAAATCTCGAACTCTTGGATCAATCTAATGATTGAGATTTAAATAACTTTTTTATGTCCTACTTTTGTTAATTGGGAATTGTATGTTTTTCATTTTAACTTGAATTTCAAAAAAAAAGTACATATAAAAAAATTATCGACAAAATTATATTCATTTTTATATATTTTGAATCTTATGATCATATATACCGTCATGGTATCCTTTGATACCACCATGATATATTTTGAATATCACCATGGCGCTAAGCAACACGTAGGACTAAATTTGTATTACTTACATTGATGTAACATCCTATAAACGCTACATAAGGAGAGTTTTTCACAGCGATAGTGATGCACCAACTTTATAAGAGAAAGCAACACGCCGAGACTCAACCTCAATCAACTTTGAATCTTATGAGCAAGATGGTTGGCCAAAACATTCCATTATGATAAGCTTGTTGTTTGCTAATCACTTCACTTCATGTATCTGATAAGCATTGTTGGGTTACATTTTCTCAGAATGCTATAACTTAGAAAAACACATCCAGCTTGCCAGGGGGGAACAACACACAAAACAAAGACCAGATATTTCTGGGGTCATCCAAAACTTTCCCCCAATGACTCAGACTTTCCACGTAGACACAAATGTTCTACGACAGATGGAAGATCTGTGCAGGCCAGGCACGTTTCCGGCCACCAGCGTCAACTCCAGAAGCCTCCATGGAGATGTCGATGCTGCGATGCTCTACACCTCGTGCAATGCTGATTCTCAGACTGAGTCTCGTCACTGGACATTTCTCGCTCCCAACCACTGCAGAGTTATCACCAGGTTGCTGCCCCATGGAGGCAATAGCTATTGGGTCCCTCAAGGTGAGCAGGGTCTGGCACCAGTGTGTCTTGGGAGTGTACGGTGATGTGGATAGAAGAGCTGGCATTTCTTTGCAGAACCTGGAGGTAAAACCTGTGTCGAACCATACTACAATCCCATAACACAATGCTGCTTTGGATTCGGTGAGATTGGCTACTGCATTGTCTGACTTTGGTTCTAACTCGATTGTAGCAGTGAAATCCACATCGTCAGGGCTCATAGTTGCCAGATCAAATTTCTGAAACAGGAAACATTGATTTACAACGGTCAAATCAGAACTCACAAACTCATCTTAACCAAACTTACATGAACCCACCAACCCGACCCGTTTGGCAATTGACTGGGAAGTTATCACGCGAGAAAACGAACCTGGAGAACCGAGGCATGTGTCACCAAATCTGAATCTTGCACAACATCAACAATGGGGATTCGAGCTGCATCCTGAACAAGTTCATTCCCCACACATGACATGTTGAAACCGTACACATCTTCCCAGAATGGGAGACTGGTGCAACTTCTTCCAAATCCAGCAGCATACTAGAGAAGAAGCCATTGTACATAAAAGAGAGAAATAAATCAGGATTTAACAAAAGGAAAACTAGTTTGTTGCCATTCAGCAAGGATGCTAGAGAGAGTTGGGGAGGGGGAGCAAGGGAACCAACCATAATTGCTGTATCTGGAAGGATTGCGCCCCCTGGCTTCAACCATTTGTCCCTTGCAAATAGCACTGAGCCAAGCATAGACTCATAAAGTAGGCAATATCCCATCCATTCACTTACTAGTACATCAAGACTGTGAGGCTCAATTTTTATGGATTTATCAAGCTCTTCAACCATACTCTTAACCACCTCCATAACACCAGTGGATTTGCTATTGTTCCCGTCACTTTGATCAGTAGTTCTTAGTAGATTATTGTCTTTAGCAATCTAGCATGATAAAAATGGGGTTAAAAAAAGAATAAAATGAAGGGATAAAGAAAGCTTGAATTAAGTGACATCTGGGAACTATACCTGTGTTGCAACAGCAGCCATCTTCTCACTGGCTTCAACTGCAATTACTCTTGTAGCCCCTGCTTGTGCTGCAAAGAGACTGTGACAAAGAACTGGAATGAGAATTCCTCAGATATCGATTAATGATATCCATAAACATGCAAAAACAGCAAAAGTACGAGAGAGGAGACATCTCAAGGTCCTCATAACTGGCAAAACAAAAACACTATGGCCCTGGTAAGTAATGTACAGAAACAAGGTTCAGTAGCGTGTCAATGATAGATCATGTTGTGATGACTCGCCTTAAAATGCCAGTTCCACAGCCAACGTCCATCACAACAGCGCCAGTTAAGAGCGAAGGATTTTTCATGAGGGCTTGCCTATAAGAGTCGGTCCGTACCTGCACATCAGTTCTTACTATAAGCTTTTACTTGTGTGGAGGGCAAAAATTATATATAAACATAAAATAAATTGCACTACAAATTCTAATGACAGTACCACATACTTACTACATGAATAACACATTCTACAGAAGAAAAATCCTTTAACATGGACTAAACTACGGGGAAACAATTACCTTATCACTTATCATCTCTCTATGAATGCCAAAAGAGCTGTAGGATCCAAAATAGTTGTCATTCACTGTCTTGATTTTGTTTGCAGAAAGGTTAACAATATTTGTGGGTTCTGCATCACCCAATACACCATTGGTTATTAAAGGCTGCAGAGATTTGTAGACGACCTGGCCATTTGAAGAAGAGGCGGGCTCTTTGGTTTCATTTTGTTTAAAACTTTCATAATGATGCTCAGAAGTTGACCCGCCATTAACTTCATTGATGTTCAGCACTCCAATATCCCCCAGATGCCTCATGAGTTCATCTTTATCAAATGATGCTTTATAATCATCTTCAGCATCTTCTTCTTCTTCCTCTTCACTGAAACTGTGCAGGAGCATATCATCTTGCATAAAAGGTTTCAAGTAATTGTCATCATCCCACAGAAGCCTAACATTTTCCAGATTGGCGGTTTCATGTAAATGGTTCTGCAAATCCTCCTTGGACTGACAGGTGACCCCACAACTCCAGCATCCATTTTGTGCTACCTAGAAAATGAAAGCAAAATAACTGATACAAATAGATACTCTCGAAAGTCCACATTACTTGGATGAGCCTGCAAGCATATAACAGTAGCAAAGCAAATTTGAGCTTCCTCCGTCTTTTCAAGCCAGTTTTTCATTGGAATTTCTCGTTCAGATCATATATGAAGCGGAATGGGATACAGCTAAACTTCAGGTTTTAGGAGCTCCACATTTAAAATTATTCATCATTAAACAAAGGAAAAATGGCAGATTTTGTGAGAGAACAGTCATGAAAACCACAACTTCCAAACTTCAACAATTTCCTTCCCCTACTTTCCTCATAGCCAGACAAAAGCAAAAAACTTTGCACAAAGAGCATTCGAAAAGCAACAAGGATACCCAACTAACCTGAGAGCGGACATAGTTGATGAGCTTGAAAGAACCATAGAAATCCAAGCCCAACCGTTTCCTTATCCCTTGGAAATCGAACTTGTGAGCCAAACGACAGTGCTCGAACAACTCGTTGCAGGAAGTGTAATTTGAGTCGCAGAATAAACAAACGAAGTTCGAGTCGAGTTCTTCATCGCCATCTTCTCCCCAATCGTTCCAGTCTTCCTCCTCGTCCTCCTCAAGCTCCTCTTCTTCTCCCTCATACTCCCCGTCTATGATGACCCTTTTCTGAATGAGTTTGATTTCCTCCGCAGACTGACTCTCTGTGTCGGCCATGGCTGTGGAGCGCAAAGTTGAGCAGAGAGAAAGCAAGACTCACAATAGCGTAGTCTGCTGAACTCAATTTACTAAAACCTCTCGAAAACCCTAATCGCTAAAAACGTTTCTTTTGTATTCCGAGAAAACCTTTTTTTTTTATGGACGAGAACTAGCCGCCTGCTGAGGATGAAAGTGTTAATAAACACTGACTACGAGGACCGATTGGAGTAGGGATGAATTTGAAGGCATTAGGCATGGAATTTTTCCGGAATCCGAGTCACGTACATACATTAACAAACAGTGGGTAGCCTAGGAAGGAAAAACTGAAGGGAAGAGAATCAGAGATGGAGAAACAACGAGAGAGAATTGAGGGAGAGAAGATATGCCGGAGATGCAAGCAGAGCTTCACATCCTCATCCAATAACTCCGCCGCCTGCCGCTTCCACCCTTCCTTCTTCGTCTGCCGCCGCCACGACGACCAGAAAAGGTAAAAATCCGCCGGAAAACTTTGTCCCCTTTCCTCCCAAAAAAATTCCCATCAACAATTTCCCACTTTGCGCCGCCCGATTCTCATCAATTGAATCGGGAAAATCAGAGGGTTGGGTCCAAATGATCCCTTTCGATTGATTTTTCCCTAAAGTTCGTTGCTTGATATGGAATTCGTAGCTTATGCAAATCCAATAGCCAAGAACATAGTGGAAAGCAGAGCACTGAAATTTCACAGATAAATTTTGTTTAGATTAGATCCAATGATCTTACGTTTTGTGCTAATTATAATCAAACCCTTTCTTCCTTTGTACTCAAATTGAATGAAGGTACTACGAGCTAGGGCCAAATGATCCGCCATATGCAGCTAAATTCTACGACTGCTGCGGAGCAGAGCAACCTGACGCGCCTGGCTGTTCCACTGCTTTCCATCTCTCTTACGATGATGATTGAACATTAATGATGCCACTCACAGTCTAAGTCTAGTATTCCATCATGATCCCGGCAACTTTTCAGACCCTGCTGCAATTAGTATTATGAGTAATGTAAGGATTGAGTGATGTTTACTCGTTTCGTGGAATCTATAACCCACTCAAGTTTGTTTGCTGCTATTTGTGTATTTACTTAGTTCCTTGGTAAAAGCTAGTTATAGTTCAGGGCACAACAAGAAGCCCCGCTACAAAACTTGCGAGACCTAAGACGATATATAAACATTAAACAGGGGAAGAGATTGGGGAGTAGGGTTAGCGAGATCAAGATCGAGGGCTTCCTATCCGTCTCCGTATTGTGGTGACGATGGCCCGAGGTCGTCATAAGAAGCGGCCGGCGTCGAGGGATGACAAAGATCAGAATTGGAGAGGTAAGAAACTTCACCTGAGGTGTTGTCGGTGGAGGCCGCTTCCCCCACCTCCCTTCTACGTGCCGGGCACCGATGACTACGAAAATTACTCTCATTGTCTCAAGTTCAAGCAGGGTGTCATCGGCAACAAGTTGTATGTGGTTATCGGCGGACGTACGTATTCCTGGCACCGAAACCTGGGCCTTGGATAAGTTTCGGTTTCCACATGCTGCCGCAACCTTGTCGTCTAAGATGAACCTCAGTGACATTGGCGCCCAATGTTTTGTGGTCATCTATGCTCACATTGGCATGGACGATTATGATAGAACTGCTGCCTTTGCTGAATTTATCGATGTCAAGACGGGACGTGGATTACACAAACAAGAAATCCCGCCTCAAGTATTCAGTGTTGATTCTATTATGGCTTGCAGAGTGGTTGAGCTGCAGAAGGACCAATTGAGCACCACGTTTTGTCTCGTGTATGGCACAGCCCTCGGTACCTTGGGGCTTACAGTTTTGAGATTACCCTCGGTGTCATCGTCATCACCATCACCATCGGGGACATCTAAACAAACCAATGCTATTCGCTTGAATGTTGATGTTCTCGAAAAGCGTCTCTATACTGTTCTAGATCCTGCTAACTTCTACCCTGCCCCTGTTTGATGCCTTCATCCTCTAGGGTGGGTGGGTTACCTTTTATGCAGTTTTGTCCTCGTCTTTCATTCGTGCATGAGTGCTAGATATCACATTCTTGAATATTTTGCATAGTAGTAGATGTTGGGTATGAATGATGGTGGTGCTGTTGGATTTTGCTAGTCGGAATCTGGTATCACCAAGGCGGCCTTGAGCTTCTTGTAGTATGTGACCTATGTTGTCTTGTGTTTGGCTGGACCTCCGGCTGCCTTTTCCTATTAGTTTGCTTCCTCCACTGTGAAATGTGTCTCTTGTTTCTCTGTTTTCATGGGTGTCAGTGAGCTTAGTGTTGCGGTTTGCAGGTGCTGCTACCGGCTTTGTCATTAGCTGAAGCCTTTGGTTCGTTGTTATGCAGTGCAGTCTTATCCATCTAAGTATAGATGTGAATAAATCCATGAAATATTCAAGGAATAGTTGACAGTGACGATTTGGTGGATGTTTTGCTCGTTGTATGTTTTCTCTAAATAAATGGTAACTTGTAAGGCTGAGTCGGTTTCATTGAATATGTCTATCTTCATGTTTATTGAAATGTTGTGTATGTTAAGAGACACTGTAGTTGTATCCAATGCAGTTAAAAGCGTGATTCTACCTAGAAGCGGGAAATTGGTAAAATCGTAAAACATAGAATCAACGCGTAAAAGCGTAAGTTTTTGACGCACCCTCTAAAATAGCTAAAATATGTTAAGTACAACATATAGTATGTAAAATGTGAGTGTGTAGATTTTAGATAAGTGAATAACTACATGAAATTCATAATTAAAATGTAATATATAACACATAAACTAATTTGTGTTGACTCAAAAGTAGAGAAAACTCATAACATCTTAATAATAAGCTCGTAAACGTAGATCGTAACCCGTAAACGAGCTTGAGAATCCAAATTCTCATAAGCTGGTTTGAGTTTACATAATTACATACGATCAATTACCCATAAACTTTTATCGTAACTCAGGTAAGAGCCGCATGTGAAGATTAAGGGAGAAGACTGATAGAAGGTCAGCGGTTGTTGAGAATACCATTAGGTGTCTTTTCAACCTAATGTGAAGCCCCTATCTCGACACTTGTTGTAGAATGAGTGATGAATCATGTTCCCTTTATTTTTTGCTGATATGTCTCCAAATTTACATCATTTTGGGCCAATTAGCACATTTTTATGAGATGATCAAAATCGTATAAAAACGCTTCAGAATCGCGATTTTATCGATTTTAAGCGATTTTACTGATTTTACCAATGTTTTTACCAGTTTTTGTGACTAAGCGACTTTAGGTAGAAACTGAAACGTTTTGGTGGCCTGGATAAGTAAAAACGTAAGTTTTTACATTTTAATGCGCGATTTTGACTGCACTGGTTGTATCTTTTCTGGGGCGGCCTCGTATGCTTAGATACTTTCTGGATCCCTATCTGTGACTTTGGTGATGGTGTATCATGTATGTGCTCAAGGATTGCTCGATATTATACCTGGTCAGTTTGATTATGAATTTCTTGATTTTTTCCACTGAGCAGGAAACATTTTCTGGTAGTTGCAGCAAATCACCATTGGCGTGGAGTAGCAGTTCCCTTCTTTTTGGATCCGTTAGCTTCTTTTTTTTTTACCAAAGATAATCAATTATATTAAAAGATCAGATAAAGGCATAAAGCATTACATCCTGGAATCTAACCAGGTCATGAAATCAAAGAAACGACATGAAGACGGGTACAAAGAAAGGGTCTTTCGAGCCACCAAATGGGCTACCCTATTTCTACGCCGACCTACAAATCGTACACTAACGCCTTGATGCGCTGACACCAGCCGAATGACCTCCTCTAGGACGCCTCCCATTGTGCTATCCCGAGCATCCCCCTCAAATCTAACATCAATAACACCATGCTCCAAACACCAAGCTATCGCATCCCGCAGAACCAGAAGCTCAACAACCATAGGATCATCAATGTCCGCAAAATGCAACCCGCGAGCCCAGAGAACCGCCCCCTCCGTGGTCATACCAACAAAGCCCCCAGCCGCATGAGGCCCAGTACGAGTAGCGTCATCCCACATACAAATTAAAGAGGGAAGACCCCCACTTCCACCCTGGGCCCCCTAGGAAACCATGGCCCCAGGCAGCCGGTCAACCGGTAAGCAGGTCTATTCCTGGTACTGTTAGTGAAATTGTCGCATTAAAGCCGGAATGCCAAATTTGGCGGTCGGACCCCGTATGTCCACGATGTTTAGCTTCTCGACAAGCTCGTTTCTCTACGTCGGCGACGACAACACCCACGGCGAGCTCCTTCCTCTTCAACGCCGGCGGCTTTGTGAGGGGAGGGAGTGAGGCCGGACGAATGGAGGGGTCGATGGTGGGAGCAACGGTGAAGGGATCGAAGGAATGAAGTGGCCGGCGATGGCTGTTGTGGCCTGTGGGAGGAGGGAGGAGGTTGTGGGGAGATGTGTTAGTTGAAAGAAGGGCAAAATCGTCTTATATTTTAGAATTATAGGCGGCAAATAGTAAATATTAGGGCGGCAAATAGCGATTCATTTAGTTTATACTTATAGGCTTAAGTATGAGATCTGACCCTAACAAAACGGTAATGGAATGGCAGAATTGTAAATGATAGAACAATTTTCTAGTTTTCGGGTCACTTTGGACGCGTGTCCAGACTACAACCATTTTTCATTTGGAACCTTACTTTTATATATAGAGTAAATGAGTGCACACACTATACATCAAACTCTAAAAGTAACGCTTTGAATTTTAATTGATAACCGTAGTATAATATGATTATATAATATAGGATCGAGTGAAATTTTATATGCTGATGAAAATAATTTCAAATGCGCCTTGACAAGTGAAATATTTCTTCCAACCAAAAAAAGTTAAATATTTCTCAGTACATTGGTTGTTGTGGTTAGGGATGGCACTCAAACCCATAACCGCGGATATCCGACCACCCCCGACCCAGTCAACACGGAGAATTCCCGCTTTGACTCGGTATGGGTTAACTCGCAAAATGCTTGATGGGTATGAGGTGGATATGGTTTTAGCATCCCCGCCCCATACACATACCCGCCCCACTAAAAGCATTTTTTCATATATAAAAAACAGTGAGGGTAATTCAACAAAGCAATTACTAG